CTAAATCAGAAGAACCAAAGGCAGATGTATTCACCACGTGTCCCTAACTTGAGCCTCATACACACGCAAAACGATTGGATAAAATATTCCACGTCATCTATTTTGTACGGTTGTAAGTAGCCACTTGTCCATGAATCAACGGTAGATAAGAACTCTTAAATTTATTTATTTTAATTAAAGTAAATCCGTTTTTTTTTTTGCATCAATCATATATTGTAAGTTAAATGATTGGAGAGAACGATCGTGAATTTGTGACCGTTGGATCTAACTAAAATCGAATTATAAAATTGCAACAAGAAGACGACTTTGCTCTTGAGTACAAGGGACGAGTTTGGTCGAGAGGGATAATAAAGATAGATGATGATGGAAGAAGACGATGGATAATTTCTGGGTTTTTTAGGGTTTTTCTTGTCTGATTGATTTCATTACCAAATCTTGCTCAAAAAATTTCTAGGGTTCTTTATATTTTTTCTGGTGAAACATTATTTTGTTTCGCCGGATTTTATCAAATGGTGACACTTTTTAGATCTTGATCTCTGAAATTTCGAGTCTTTTTGTGTATCTTATAAGAAAAAATTCAATCTTTCTTCGAAATTGAGCTCGAAAAATTCTGTTCAATTCTTTGATTCATTTGGAGATTGATTTTACAACCAAAAAGGTTTTGTTTTGTTTTTGTTTTTGTGTGTGTCCTGTGATATTTCACCAGATTAATGGTGGAATTGTCTGAAAAAAAAAGAAAGAACCAATCTGATTCTTGAAAAATGATGAAGAGACCGATCCCGAGTTGGCCTTGGTGGTTATTTGGTAATAGAAAAGAGAAAGAAACCGAAGCTATTAAGTTCCCTAGAAAGATAGGTACAGGAAGAGTTAATAAGAGAAAGGAGCTTGAGCTTGAGAGCTTTGGTTCGTCTGGCTCAGAATCTGTATCCCTTGTTGTAGCTAGTGATGGACCTGAATGGTCTGTTGGATGGACTGAGCCACATGGACCTGATTTCCAAAGCGATGATGAAGGAGACGATGGTGGCTTCTTAGTGCTTGTTCCTTGTTACAGAGCTGTAGTTGAAGGCTCTAGTAATAACCAGCTCTTGTCTGCTGTCAAGAATCTACCCAATGGTTTGTCTCCTGGTATGAAATTATCACTTGCTCTGAATCTTTGTTGTTGTTGCCTAGTATCATGAGAATGATATATGTAGCGTGGCGTTTAGCGGATTTGGTTTAGTAAACTACCGTTGCTTCGCTCTTTGGATTTGATATTTTGGATCATGCTTGTGTTAGTGCTTGATCTTACTTGCTCTGAATCTTTGTTATTGCCTAGTATTATGAGAATGCTTTTAGCGGATTTGGTTTAGTAATCTACGGTAGCTTCGCTCTTTGGATTGATATATTGGATGATGCTTTACTTGATCTTACTTTCTCTGAATCTTTGTTGTTGGATAGTATCATGAGAATGATACATGTAACATGGCTTTTAGCGGATTTGGTTTAGTAAACTACCGTAGCTTCGCTCTTTGGGTTGATATTTTGGATAATTCTTGTGCTAGTACTTGATCTTACTTGCTCTGAAACTATGTTGTTGCCTAGAATCATGAGAATGATAAATGTAGTGTGGCCTTTTAGCGGTTTTGGTTTAGTAAACTACTGTAGTTGTTCCCTGTCCATGTGCGATGATCGACAGTTTTTGCTATTGATGTGACAACATTTTTTCTCCTAATCCAAAGTGCAAACTTTTTCTGATTCGCGGTTTTCTTTTCTTTTCAAATCAAATGTGCAGATGGGAAGAACTATATGGAGCAATGGCTTTCATCTCTGCAGAACCTTTGACCAGGTTTCTTCAGTTTGTAGTTAGAGTTAATAGTTTTAGTTCTCTAATACATTAATCCTGAAAACTCA